GAATCGTTCCCAATTATGAGAAGAGCTTTTGTCAGGAAGGACATGCGTTCCCATACCAAGCTGGGGCATACGAAGGAGTTACAAGCGATCTGGTTCCTAGATTGTCCGGGCCAACCAAGACTTCCGTCCCTCCGATATTGGTTGAGTGGTAGCAGTCTTGTCATTGATCCGCTCGATTTATTTCCCATTAACTAAGCTTAATCTCCATCTTTAAAACTTGTTATTATAAACTACCTTCATACAAGTGCCGTCAACGCAGATGTCGTCACCATTTCTATCACAAGGAGTGCCATCGATGACCTGAATAGTATTATTTCAGTCTTACCCGGAGAATTCTCTAACAGCTATCCACTTACCCTTTCCTTGAGCAGATAGAAAGCAGCACTGCCAGCAACTCTACAGTACAGTTTGCATCGTTCGTTGTCGGCGACAGCGGTGTACTTTGGCACCCAAGTGGTCCTTGAGGGTATCCCGTGTATGCCCACGTCCTGCAAATCCTAAGATTCAAATGATATGACATTGGTAAACGACTCCTCCTCGTTCTCCTTCTTCTCCTCACCTTGTTGTTGAATTCGGCACACTGGACCTCGCGGAAACCGGGTGTATCCCATGGGCAGTCGGCCACATTGCATGAGCGATAGCGTTCCCTCTGACCAACGCAGTACTTTCCCCCGTTTGCAGGCCTTTAAACAATTCACCAGAGTGAATGCCAACGTATGATTTTTTCTTACCACTCAATCATTCAAGTCAAAAAATGAAGCCAAAAAATCTGAGCAGTGAGAGGAATAAAAAATTCGTCAGTTTTTTCCAAAGGTTCTCAGAAGCCGAAAATATAGAAAAATTTGTGGAACGTACTTAGGGCTATCGCAGTCGCGAAGTGCTCTCTGAACTCCTCCACCACAAGTTCGACTGCACGTCTCCCAAGATCTCCACTCGCCCCATCCACCATCGATTTTGGCCCGATGTTCAGCTCCAATCGACACACATTCTCCTCGGTGACACTGCTGGAAAGACTAGCTAATTTGAAGGAATTTTTATATTGATGGAGGGTCCGAGGGTTTCTTCAGAGAAAATATTTGCTAGGGTACCGGGAGGGGGCTTTTAGGGGCACTTGGACAACTTAGAATGACGAATTAAGGAAGAGCTTCATGTTCATGAAGTCTACAACAGGATGCGCCACGCATTTTTCCTATCGTAAAAGTCGGAGCTAATGTCTTTAGGAAGCTAAACAACAGCGAATCAATTCAAAAAATTATTTATGATCTCCAGGCTGGAGCAATTACGGTAGGTCTCCCTGATTTGGGGGATATTTTGCTGAAAGATTTCCATCAAACGGCAATCGTTGCTTTGAAAAAAAAAACGCCTAAATGCGACGTGGGCAAAATGCTCTGATTGTTCTGGACCTTTTTCTGCCCCCCCCCAACTATACCAGATATGTGAGGATTTGGCAGCCCATAAGGTGTGCACGAGAAAAAGCCGACTAAGCGACTTGCATGGCACTTCACCTACCTCGCAAATCTGTTCCAAATAGAACCTTACATTGCCGCTTCCCATTGCTGATCGCCCCGACTTCCATTTCTCCTTTTGAATTAAGAAAAAATGAGCCGACTCGTTCTTTTTCATATCCTGAGCAACGGTCCATAGAATTCCCCATGTAGGGGCCATGGTTTTGGCCATTTTGGGATAGGAGAAAGTTATATGTGGAAAGTACCGTTAATACCTCACCGTCTCAGACGCATTTTGAGTTGGGAGGGGGATGGGCGGAGTATATGTATATGTACTAAGTTAAGTTCGACAGCATCATTAAGATATCGGCTATTGCAAGGTGGGGAGGTAGGGGAGCGGGTGGGGTGAGTGTCGTACGTATTGTTGTAAAATTTCTTCGATACGTAGGAAACCCTTCTCTCCCTAAAATGGGGCTGGCTTTCTCAGTACGACATACCTACCCTTTCTTGATGTAATAATCAAGAATAAATGCGTGACGGCGAATTCCGAGAAAATTGGACAATTTTTATAACATAAAATTGCGTTTGTCTCAAAAAGATAACTCTGGACAAAAGATTATGGATGCATTTCAACCAATGAAAAAAAAACCACTTCGTCAAACGCCGACGGCAATCAAACCCGTCACTCATTTGAGGTCAAATGTTTCAGAAAAAATACAACGAACCATACGGCCTGTCTTGTCGCAAGGAGTTCCGTCCGCCCACGGCATATGCTGTGTTCGACAGCCCATTTGACTACCGTAGTACGTAGCACACCAAAGACGTCGACATGTTGGCTGAAAAGGACAGTTCAGATCTCGAAAGCTGAGACGCACGAGAACCAATAATACGGTCTTATGAAGGTTGGACTGCGTATGTCACGCGGCGATGTATTTGCAAGTGCACGCTCAACGTGTGCAAAAAATTTTCAGCTGGCCTTGACCTTGTCGCAGATTATCTGAGCCATAATTGTGCTGATGGCTTCCTCGATAAGGCCCACAGTAGGACAGGCACTTTCTTTCTAAGCCGCTTGGATTTTGCTCTCGTTTTTCGTTTCCGAAAAGGAATTGCCAGAAAAATGTTGTTTTGTTCTGGGCTTATCCAAGCTAGCCATCATGGGAGCCTCCCTCAAAACGGCGCGCTGAGGGGGATCCAGCGAACTTTGGGAATAACGAAAACACGTGCTCCGTCATCCTGGATTCTTCTACCACCCTAACCATGAGGTTTATGGTTACTTCCAGCTTCAGTAAAAAGGAGACGTTCTACGTCATTTCGAATGCGCTGAAACAACAATGCCCCCTTGTCCTGCGATAGCGCCGTTTTCTGGAACAAGTGGGTGAGTACTTACCATATAGGGACAGAGTTCTGACTGGGGACCAAAGACGAATTTGCACTGCTGGCTGACGTCGTATTTCCTTCCGGGAGCGTCGTCTTCGAAAAGTTGTTCATAGTATTTTCTCTGAATCGGCTGATCGAACAGGCATTGAATTTGACCGCGGTGGTTGCTGAAACAAGAGCATTCCCTTTTTCTGGGCATCTTCCTTAATTTTCAAATATCGTGTTTTTCAAAAGATGTGAGTTGAAAGATGTCGCTTGGCCTCCTTTTTTTAGCTGGCAAATTTCCAAGTTGACAGCGAAAACTTACTCAAGAAATCGTTCAAGCATCGCGCTCGAGCAGGTGCTCCAGCTCCACGGATGGGTGTTGTATTCCAGGGTTGGTGCCATGATGTGAAAATTGTGCTTGACCAACTGCATGTACTGTGCGCATTTACGTTCGTCATCGTGTGGAATGTTGAAGCTGAAAGCGGAAAATTCTCGAAAATACAAAAATTATGAATGCGAAACTCCACCCACATATGTCCGAGTTCGTGTGCGATGGTAAATGCGGCACTCAATCCGTTATCTTCGATGATTGCACAACTTTTACCGGCATCACACATTGTGCCCAACTCGGCCAACCCCAGCGTGTCGCATTTCCCTGGAGCCCTGCAATATACACGAAAGTACATACCGCTCCACGTGCACCACATGTGGTTTTGTTGAGGTTTTTCTATGCAATTTTTCGACGGTCAAATCGCTGTCGTTTACAGCACGTCATATGTACAGCACATTTGTAGTCGGCTTGGTGTGTAACGTCGCTACGCGCATCAAGAGCGGCGCCCAATGGCTCGTCTACTGGCGGTGCGCCAGTGTGCCTGGGCGGAAATTGCTCTAATGAACCTTCAGAGGATCTATGCGGTCGTGGTTTGAGCACTATGGTATGTAGCTCAAGGGACAATCTCGGGGTGAAAAACCAGGTCGGGCTGATTTATGTTTAAATGTTGTAGTAGCGATGAAGAGCAAGTTCTAAAAGGCATAGGACCTGAGGGAAGCCTTACAAAAATGATGGCGTGGGGGTAGGTAGAGGTTGCAGTTCTTTTTGGCTCATTTCACTGAGACAATGATAGCATTCAAGTTCAAAAGGAAAATGAGCCAGGAGAATGCAGGGGTTCATGTGTTGAAGGAGAACGCATGGGGCAAAATTCTGTCCCCTACAGTGATCCCCATTTTTACAGGATAAAAGCTCTGGGGTGGGTGAAGTTCATTATCGCCTTCACATCCATCCTGGAAATGCCTTCCCTGCAAATGTTATCGGGATTACTGTAGGCGGCATGAAAAAATACACCACAATCCCCCTACCCATCTCCTCCCCACTCTCGTTTTCGATGTATGGGCGGGCAATGACCAAAATGTGGCAAATTTGAAGAAAGTGGACGAGATATTTAACCCATTCGTGACAATGGCAGCCACCGGTGGCTG